CCAGATTTAGCCCCCTGCGATTATTTTCTGTTTCCAAACCTAAAGAAACGGCGAAATTCACTTTTTTCCATTTTCGTAAAAATTCACGAGGTTGTTTGCTTTGAACGGCTATCAAACACCCACTGAACGACGTAACTTGCTCAAAATTAAAAAGTTACCCACTGGTAGATTACAGCTGACGGAAGCATTGTTGCATTTGGAGTAATTCACTAACTTATCAAACCACCCTCGTATATAATATATATTGTGAATATAAGTTTTAATTTAACGTCAAATTTTTCAGACGGAAATGACTATTAGATATAATAGAAACTAGTATATTTCTTAAAAAGGTTTTTTCGAACAGTAGTGAACCACAACAACAAAAATTCATTTTATATTATTTTAATTAATTGAATTTTTGGCTGACCATACAGCTGTTTCGAGTATTGCGAAATACCCATCATCAGTGGTCTTGGAAATAATTCTTGTATTTAATTATTCTTGGATTATAACTTTCTAAGACTGCAATTACTAGGAATCGAACTCACGCCCTGACAAATTTGAAGCTCAGAGTCAGCGCACCTTAACCAATTGACCGAAAGCCGTACTTAACTTTGCATGTTCGCACATATTTCTGGAGTTTTATTATTATTAATATAATATGTATATATAATATTGAAGTTATAATACTAAAACAGCATCTAATATTATAAGAGTATATTGTCTTTTTTTAATTAAATATAATTTAAAAACAATTTATAACTTAAAGAATATTTAGTTTAAATTAAACAAATCTATATAATAATTTATTTTAATTAAAAATAATTTCGTAATTTGTATATAATTTAATATAATTCATTATAAAGCAAAAATATATATTCTAATTATACAATACTTATATAGCTAAATTTTCCATAAATTAATGCGTGTATGACCAACTATAGTTCTCTTTAAATTGATCTCATCTGCCTTAGAATTTGTTCCTTTCCTCGTTATTGCATTTTAATTAAATTTATTTAAATGTTTTGCCTCAACAATGCTCATGTTATTTTAATTTTACAAATTGTTAGTACATATTTTGCATTTGACAAGGCTCCTCTCAATGGTATTGTTATAAACTATTATGGCATAAATTCATTTTGTGAAGAATTTTTAAAATATTTTGCAATAAGGATAAAGAAGAGTTGCTGTCCTTTAAGGCCTTGTTTTGTATAAAATGTTTCAGTTTAGACACAAACTATGAGAATGCCAGTTTCGTTACTTTTAATAGAAGAAAAGAAAATTAATTATTTCTAGATGGTATCCTTTCTTACAGAAACTACTGACAGTATTTGAATCAAAGTTTTAAAGTTTGCAATATGGGTTAAATATTTAAAATGAAATTTATTTTGTATTATATTTTCGGATACCTTACAAATATCATAAATTTTATATAAAAAGTAAACAAGAAATTATACTAACATGTAATTTATTATTTCAGAATTCGCTATAAAATATTTTTTTTAAGTTGGTAGCACTGAATTGCTTTACTATGCAAGATTTAAGCGCGTTGCAGTCTATCATTTTTAAGATTACCATTCAAGATGCGATTTTTGTTGCTAAAATTAATACTAGTGACCGAACTTGGACTTGCTCACATTCAAGAGTTGTCATTTAAGAAAAATTTTTGTAGAATAAGGGTGTTTACGCACGCTGTAAGTGTGTTTCGTACGCTGTAAGTTTGTTAGTGCAACCACTTGGAAATATGCTCTTGAATAACGAATGCAATTTTTTGGATGATGACATCAATCAGCTTGATGTGCTTACCAAAATTTGGGTGAACACAACAACATGTTGGTTGCGTGTCATTCAAAGGTGCAGACTATCATTTTTTAATATTATTCTTATATTTTCTCTCTTGAATGACACTCAAAATTGATAGGCTGCACCGCGCTTTAGGAGCTATTATCTGTTCAGTATTACATTAGCATAGCGGTTATACTAATGAGCACATATCGGATAGGTAATATGGATTCAGAAGGGGATAAAGGAATAGATAGAATAGAAGGAAACAAAACTATAATACAAAACTCAATTGAGCTACAACAACTCTGCCAAAAAATTAATGATTTCAATGTATAATTTTACTCCTAGGATTCACTTTTCCCTACTTTTCTTCATAGCCAATTCTGGCTTCGAGAGAATTTTAATTACTAGTTTCTGATGATCAATTAAATATATTTAATAGTGAGTATGACAGAGAGAGAGAGAGAGAAAAGGGAGCGAGATAGAAAGAGTGAGGAAAGAGAGAAATGAAGTGAGGAATAGAGAGAGAGAGAGAGTAAAATTGAGGAGAAGACAGGAAGAGAGAGAGAGAGAGAGAGACGAAGAATGAGAGAAAGAGAGAGAGAGAAGGCATTCGAACTTAACTCAGGCTTTCTTGAACAGTTTACATTCGACAGTTTTGAGTACTGATGCAGACTGATAAATGAATATCGCGCAAAAAGTTTTTGACTGTATTAAACCAGTTAGAGTAAGTTTATCATGCAAGCTTATCACTTGTATTGTGTAGAACTTATCAGAGGTGAGTATCCATATGAATATGTACATTAATTTAATCCCACATAAGCGTCTTGTAGCTTCGATTCAACTTATATTTAGTGGAAGGTTATTGTCTGTATTCTGAATGTTGTGATCGATAGGGTGTTGCTCTTTCGTTCCTGACCTATTAAAAAAGAATCAAATAAATTTTAAAAATGTTCATTAGAGCAAAATTTGAATAATAAAAATATTGTGTTGCCTTTACATTTCGACAGGAAATTCAATATTAATAAAACTAATAAAAAATGTTTACTTTACGAAATTATTTTGTAAAATCAAATAAATTGAGTTCAAGTGAAAGCCTTTTAAGTTTTGAAATAATTCAAATATTTTATAAATTAAAAATATACAATGAAATAATTCTATTTATGAATTTACGATACACACTTCACATGTTATAAGAGCTTGAGTGCTGCATAAATTGCACTCTCATGAAGTGCAAGTGCATATCGTAACGTTGCATTATTACTGTAAAAATTTATGTTGGAATATCCTCTTACACTTGTTTGCCACATATAGTACTTATAATTATTGACTATTGAATTTTAATAGAATTTTGCTTCATGTTTGAGAATTTATTCAAAAAAATTTGAATTTTTTATTTTGAAAAATAGGTCATCAAACCACCAGGTTGGCAATGCTGCAATGGACATGTACTGTGCAATAATTGCCGCAGTCGTTCTGTCAAATGTCCTGTCTGCCGAGTGCCGTTGGGACCCAGAGGCAGGTGTCTGCTATCCGATAAATTGTTTACACTACTAGCAGATAATTTTCCATGTGATGGTGGTAAGTGCAAATTACGATTAAATACAAGTATAGATTCTAACTGGTAACTTTTAGTATTCCTTGTTTTTTTCTAAAAGCTTCAAAATTGCTCATTGATTTGATGTAGATTTATATAGAAAAAAAAACTAATTTTAAATGTGTAAATTTAATATGAAATTTTCTTATTCACCGAACATGTATCAAATTTGCATTATTTTATTCAAAATTTTCCCAATTAAACTTAAATTTCGTATGGATTCAATTTTGTGTTCATCCCAGAATCTAAAAGTGATTACTTGTCTTTGATGACCATAAAGGATAACGTAGAGCAAATTACTTTTTTATTGCACACAGAATTAAAAATATCCTTACGTATGCCTTGACAGTGGACTCTTGGATATTTTTCTATTGGACAAGTAATGTTTAAACTCACATTAAATGTGTTGTCCTATAAGATTTGAGTTTATGCAAGGATAGAGGATTTGCATATGAAAATAAACTTTTTAATCGATTTTAAGACAATGTTATTATTTCTTTATAAAAGCAACTTTTTGGGTGTTTTTTAGATATATGTAGTTTAAATAATTAGTTTAAATAATTTTTTAATTTGTATACGCATTTGTTTATAAAATGGTTAGGTCCTTTTTAAGTTCCAATGTATATTGCGTTAGGTTAGTATATTTTGACTGGTGTTGAATTAGTCAGTACTATATCTTCATTAATGCAAAGACAGAAATTCATTAACTGTCGGGGATCCTGAGATGAATTCAAAAGAAACGAACGGCTGAGGTAGAACGTTTGGGTCACTACCAAGACAGCTCACATCTCGCCTGTGGATTTTTTGTTGCACCGACTTAATATTTCAGTTGTGGTTTAATCCAATCAGATTAAACTACATATTTTCGATGAGTGTGTACAGAGTCACATTTAAGATGAAGTTGTAGAAAACTGAACTATGAAGTAATTGGCAATATATGGGAAATACTTATTTATAACTTATTAAAACATATAAAAAAAGTTAATTGAAAACAACTGTAACTTTCGCTGCAAAGGGCTGGGAGAGGAGGGGTGTGTTTGCATTTCAAGACAAATCTTAATTTGATTTTAGCACAGTTTTATAAATTTAAAGTTTGTTTCGAGTTGAACCCAAAGCATTGCCCAAGGAAAGTTTTTCAAAGGTACTCCTTTGTATACGGACCTCTATAGATTGCCAGATGTATCTATCATACGCTTATATTGGTTTCATCACAATTTAATATATTTAAAGCATTTTATAGCTATAGCTCACTATTGATAAATAAAACATCACATAAACAAGTTTGGAGGAAGAGGAAACTTGCACTTTGGAAACACCCCTCTTTATACGCCACTTATATTAACTTCCCAGAGTTGTATTTCGTACGTCCATAATGATTTCTTTATAAATCTCTATACTCTTTATATTATTTATAAATCAAGAGTTTGATTTGAAGTGATCTCTATCTATTGGGAGCCAAACTCTTACTTGGATAAAATTTGTGATGGAAAGTTGTCAAGACCACTTCCTTGCATAAGCCTATAGTTTGTCTGATATATATATTAAATGCCAATATTGGTTTAAATAAACTTTTATATATTAAGAACTTGTTTTATAGCGATAACTTTAGTTTCGTGGCTGAACCTGTGCACCTGAGCTTGGGAGTGGCACTTTGAACTCTAAAATCAGCACCTTTGATGCGCCCTTGATTTATACTGGGATTGATAGATATGAATATCATAAGGGCATGTTCGTTTTATCACACTTTTGTAAATTATGTTTTTATAGTAGCGGTACGAGTAGCAGAGAGATAGGAGCCAAACCTTTACCTAGATGAGTTTAGCGCAACTGCCAAATGCTTCTGGACGCTTGGAATGCTTCTGATTTTCAGTTGGATTGCTAGATATGTACACCACACTCATATAGTGGTTTCACACATCAACAGCTTGTTTTATGCTAATAGCTCCGAGTTAGGTCCAATTCTCTATATGTATGATTTTTTGAGGAGTGCTTGAAACTCCCTTACATGCATCCGTATTATATTCTTGGATTTCCAGCTATTTGCATTATCTTAAAGTATTTAGATAGTGTTAAGAAAGGATTAATAGTTTATTTTGTAGCGATTGTTGCAGATATGTGCATCACACTCATATAGTGGTTTCATACATCAACAGCTTGTTTTATGATAATAGCTCCGAGTTAGGTCCAATTCTCTATATGTATGATTTTTTGAGGAGTGCTTGAAACTCCCTTACATGCATCCGTATTATATTCTTGGATTTCCAGCTATTTGCATTATCTTAAAGTATTTAGATAGTGTTAAGAAAGGATTAATAGTTTATTTTGTAGCGATTGTTGCAGATATGTGCATCACACTCATATAGTGGTTTCATACATCAACAGCTTGTTTTATGATAATAGCTCCGAGTTAGGTCCAATTCTCTATATGTATGATTTTTTGAGGAGTGCTTGAAACTCCCTTACATGCACCCATATTATATTCTTGGATTGCCAGCTATTTTCATTATCTTAAAGTATTTAGATAGTGTTAAGTAAGGATTAATAGTTTATTTTGTAGCGATTGTTGCAAGTTGGGGGCCAAATCTCGATATAGCCGAGTATGGGTGGAGTACTCGGCACTTCAAATCCACCCCATTGAATACGCCACTAATTTTCATTTGGATTACCAGATACGTATATAATATAATATTGGTATCGTTGCAGTTTTTAAATTCAAGAGGGTGGGGTTTTATAATAGCTACCAATCCGTTCAAGTGGCTACTTGGAACGGATTACTTTAAGTATAGAAGAAATATGGTTTATTATAATTTCTTTATCATTTTCTTAACATTTGTTATCATTTTTTTATATCTTGTGTATTGTTTAGCTTTATTGTATTTTATGTTCCCAATTTTTTTCTATCCAAAGTTTTTCTTCTGGAAGATTTTCTGCATTAATTTAATATTTTCTGATGTTTTTGTTTTTTGAAACTAAGTGTTACCAACTTAAGACTAAGTGAAGTTTTTGCTTTATTACAACTTCCGTAACAACTTCCGGTGTTACAATTGCTGTTTGTGTTGTTGCTTTTCGATCATTGCCGCGTTACTTGCTCTGCCCTCATTTGCTATGTTTCATGAACAGCAGATTTACGTTGTAAATGAAAAATAAAAATAAAAATAAAAAATATCAGAAAAAAAGCATTATTTGCTTTATTTTCTTAAAAAGTTTTTATTTTTATGATGTTCACTAACGAGGGCAAAGGACACTTCCAACTCTAATAAAGTTAAAATTGTGTAAACACTGCGAGAAAGAAGGACTTGGCAATGCATTGCATGTGGCAACTATGGAAGTGGCAATAATGGCGTAGTGTCCTTGGCATGGATGTGGAGTTCTACACTTACGTCGTACTTGTTTACTCAACTACTCGTGATGGTATAATAATTAACTCATGCAGATAATTTCTTTTAACTACATTTTATTCTTAGAAACTCCAATTAAAATTTATGATACAAAGCTTTGAGAGTTTATTAATTAACTGTTTAGCTTAATGAAATTTTATTACTAGAAACTAATAAAAGTGAAGTTATAATGCACTTCTATGGTATTGCTAGAAGTACACATGTGTATATGTGGGTTGATATTAAATTGTAGCATTATTTTTGTAACTGAATTAATTATTTTAATTAAAATATAATATATAAAGCAATATATGAAGCAATCCTTTCTATTGAAGTCTTTTTTGCTTTGAATTAAAATACATTAAATAGAAGATAAACCACAAATATGGACAGAACATTTTCTTATATATATTAATAATAAAATTTATTAAATTTGTTGTGATAGAGTTGAAATTTCAATAGCTAGATGTAAAGAATTTGAATGCATTTAATTACATATTTAATTTACATATTTTCTTGTTAAAGAGAATAAAAATCTTTGATATAAAAATTCATAATTCGAAAGATATTTGTATCTCTAGTGTCCATAGTTTTATACATTTCAAATTTTATAATTTGCTCAACTGGTTTTTTATTAATATAGAAAAATATGATGTTAGAAATTTTGGGTGAGTTAACTTACCCATGATTCCATCGTTATGTACCTTTATGGTACAAGAAAAAAAAACATTACTTTTGATGCTGCATGATACCGGTAATATATATACCTTCTGCTCAAAAAGTACTCGGATTTTGTAAATAAAACACACAAATTTGAATTTTATTCCAAATTTATTTTATTTCCTTCAAAATATGCTCCTTCTGAAGTTATACACATATGCCAACGCTCGTCCATACACTTTTCGTAGGCCCGTGCAGGTATGGCTTTTACTTCCTTCGGCGAATTCTCTTTTACCGATTCAATCGACTCAAAACGCTTACCACGAAGGGACAATTTGAGTTTCGGGAACAGGTAAAGTCGCACGGCGCCAGATCTGGCGAATATGGTGCCTGAGCGATGACAGTGGTGCCGTGTTTGGTCAAAATGGCTTTTACTTCTTCGGCGAATTCTCTTTTACCGATTCAATCGACTCAAAACGCTTACCACGAAGGGACAATTTGAGTTTCGGGAACAGGTAAAGTCGCACGGCGCCAGATCTGGCGAATATGGTGCCTGAGCGATGACAGTGGTGCCGTGTTTGGTCAAAAAATCGCGTACAACAAGAATTTTCCATAGTAAAAATCACTAAATGCACTTGAAAAAGGTCTATTACTTAAGGAGTAGTAAACAAACAACAAAATCCGGGTACTTTTTGAGCAGAATGTATACCAAGGCGCTCAGAAGAATAGAAGGGCTCTCAGTTTGAATTATAATAATTTGACTTATTAGTTATTAGTCAGCAACTTATTAGGACTTGGTAAAAATATTTCGATATTTTATTAAATTAGTGATGTTACATAGCATATCATGTTATTATTAAGGAAGTTATTAAGAAAGTATTATTATGGATATTACCAATAATAACTAAATTTTTAATGAATAAAATATGTTTAATTAAAAGTATATTAGTAAAAGCAAAACAATAATTACAATTATAACAAAAGTTGCTATATGAAAGGACAAACAAACAATTTGAAATTGTCATTGAAGTTTTAACAATAAAGCGACTTTTAATCCTTGTTCCTTAAATCCTTACTTTTAGTGGCATCTCAATCGATTAACGAGACAACAATGAGTTTCATACATAAGAATGGAAAGTGCGTTGACATCGTAAAAAGCAAATAAAATCCATTTCCACTTTAAAACAAAATAACCAAATTGTCCTTAAAACTAAGCTAATTTAATTCTTATCCTCGTTCACATTGCAATGCAATTTAAACCAATCCAACCAACAATCATAGTTAATTCCAAAAATATTTTGATTTGACCCAAGAGCTTAGATTTATTTATGTAAATAGCAGGAAAGTCTCAATAGAAAGTTTGTGATGTGGAAAATGGAAACGAGACTGAACATTATCATTTAAAAGTTTATACAATTTTAATTAAAAATTTTAATATTTTGCTATTATCTGCATTTACAGTGAAAAGCAACAAGAGCACACCAACCCAGCAGAGGAAATGCACAGCGGATTATCATAATCACCCAAAGATGGCAATTGCAACAAAACCGTGCGAACAGCAACAATTTCAACAGCAAATTAAAACCAAAGAAATTAAGAAAAAGTTTAAATCCTTATATCGTCAACAGGAGCAACAACAACAACAACAGCAGCATCAACAACAACAACAGCAGCTGCAACAACAGCAGCGATGTCAGTCTCCACGACAAGAGCACAAGACTCATCAACAACAGCACAATTGCCAAGAAAAACTTAATAAAAACGGCAACACACAGGATGTGATGGTTACTGTTGTTGTGAATGATGTTGCTGTGGTGAAGAGTGTTGCAGAAATTTTGCAAAGAGAAGCGGAACAACAACAACAACAGCAGCAGCAACAACAGCAACAGCAAGAACAACAAGAACAATTAAAAACAACAGTGCAATATAATTGTAAAGTTCCAGCCGAAACTAATAGCAACAAAAGTGACACAAGTAGAAGCAAAAATAACAACAACAATAACAATAATAGTATCTGGAACAGCAACAGTAGTTGCAATAGCAACAATGAAGCTGACACTGACAATAACATAAGCTTGCGGCGTAAAAGTCGAACAACCAAAGTCCATCAACATCAACTAAACGAGATGAAAATATTAAAAAGTCACGAGCAAAAGCAATTGCTTAACAACGACAAGAACAACAATAACAACAACAACAACATCAATAGAAACATTGACAGCAACAACAATGAAAGCATTTCTGATAACAATAACAATAGCCACAACGGAATAGCATTGTCCGTAAAAATGTCCAGTGCAAGTGTCAACAATACAGTCCAAGATTCTTATAACATTAATAGCAACAACAACAGCAATAGCAACAACAACAGGAACGCTTCCAATAATAATAACAACAACAAAAACAATGTTGATAGAGAATTGCTCGTTAAACAGAAGTTAAAGTCAAACAGGAAAGCTACAGATTACTACATGTTCAATGTTGACGATGAGCAAAAGACGCATCACCACCAGCAACGGCAACAACAGCAAGAACATCAACAGCAGCAAGAACCAAGCAATAACTATAGCAGTAATAAGATTAGGGTCCAAAGTCACGAATTGGAAGACGATGAAGTTACAATTGTAAATAATGGAATGCCAACAAATAAACTACAACAGCGACAACAAAAACACCAACAATATCAACAACAACAAGAATATCAGCAACTAAATCAGCAACAACAATATCACAATTATCATTGCCCTACTGGGAAATCATGTAGTTGCAGCTACGTGAAAACTTCCGGCACTGCAATGGCAGTGACTAAGACAGCAATGGGGGTTGCAATGTGCAACAACAGCAATACAAATAATAACGTTAGCAGCGACAACAACATAAATAATAGAAAGAACAACAACAGTAAGTTGTCAACAACATGGATGACAAATGGTATAAAGTTATCACAATTTGATACTGCTGCTACTCTCCCCATAATAAGTGCGACTGTTGCTAGTTGTGATGAACTCATGTTGAGCCAAACAACACCAACAGCAGCAACAAAAACAACATCAGCGACAGCAGCAACAAAAACAACAAAATTATTAAATGTTGGTAGTTTATCATGCAAGAAAAGTTGGGCAACGGAATTGTCGCAAGGGAATCGTTTACCTGAAAGAAAAGTTGCAGTGATGCAAGTACAAAATAATATCACAAACACACCTACAACTAGTAACTATAGAATGCCAACAACAACAATAGCTGCAGCAGCAATAACAGCAACAACAACAGCAATAACAACAAATATGACGTACGACGACTCGCAAGGAAATCAAAACTTTACTCAGCATAATTTGGCAAAGACGTCTCAGGTGCATAACACAAATTTAAAGAAACAACAACAGCGACAACAACAGCAACTGCAACAACAGCAGCAGCAGCAACTACATGAAGTACTTGTAGAGCAGCCACAAAATGACATTCTAAGGCTGCCCTTGCATACGGAATGGCAGATCCTGGCACATTTGTCACGTGAGCATTGCCTACCGGTATTACAATATTATGGCACGTATAATCAAAAAATCCATGTCAATTTCATGTATAACAAATCGATAGTATGTCTCAATCTCATGCAGCAGCAGCCACAACAGCAGCAACAATATTGCAACCACCCACAAGAATTGAAAAAGGATTATGCCATAAATGCAAATAACTTAAATTATGAAAATGTCAACAATTACCAAATGGATAAATTCTTTTTGGCTTGTATTCCATTGTATGACAGCAATATAAATGCAGAACAAGCAACTTCACTAGCAGCAACAACAACAACAACCAGAGCAACAACAATGACATCTTCAACTGCAGCAGCAGCAGCAGCAGCAAACAAACATACGGAAACGGAAACAACAGTTCCAACTGAAAAATTTGCAATATTTCTGTGGCATTTACTTGCCACTGACAATGTTGCGGCTTCAATGACAATTGCAACTGCAACAACAACAACAACACCAACACCAACACCAACACCAACAGTAGCAACCGTAAGAACTTCAACCATTGCCGCAGATAATGCTTACAGTGTTGCCACAGCCACTGCAATTCCAGATAGAACAAATAGTAATGCTACTCAACGTAATTTCACCTCTGTTGACAGTCGCCATTTTGAAACTATAATCGAATCGCAACGCACCGGTATTAAATGGTTTGGTCGTTCGCAATCGCTGATGAAGAGCTGGTACGAAATCGAAGCCGAAGGACATTTTCTTACACACGAAATACCCGCACAGCTCAAGGATTCTGATGCATTGGAAATTGTCATCAGAATAAAATAGATTTTTACTGCATTTACGTGTCCGCTTAAATCCGAGCATATTCCGAGGAAGTTGGAGTTGTGTACTTATGCTTGTGGGTGGAAAATTGTTGCTGTCGATTCTGGAGGCGGACAGAAGGAGGAATTGAAAGACGCCGTCGTCAAGTACGTGATTTTTTACTTAACAAAATGTAAGCTGCACTGATGACTTTCTGTGCAATTCTGTTATATTAAAATGGCGTGGTTGCTAAGTAAAAATATATAAATAAATTTATAAATAAATATATATAATGTGTGTAATGCACATTCTCCATATGCAAATATAGTAGTAATATATCGCCTGGAGCAATTCAAATTCCAGGCACATACCAAATGAAAATTCCGATGAAAATTGTCAATATTAAGTTAAGGGATAAAAGGCAATATGGAACAAAGAATAATAATATTAGACTGCTATAGCTGTAGATGTTATGGTATATATAAAAATATTATATAAAAATTATATAAATAATTTAATATATAAATAAATAAATAAATAATTTAAAAATAATTTAATAAATATAATTATATTATATAAATATATATATATATAAAAATATATATAATATATCAAAATATATAATATAAAAAAAAAGAAATATATATATATAATATAATATATATTATTATAATATATAAAAATAATATATCATTAGTATTTTTTTATATCATGAACAATCGCTGCTTTATTATGAGTGACTTAGAAAATGTATACATAAATATATACATTCAATGCAGTATATAACATATAGTCGTTAACTATAATCGAGAAGTGTTGGTATGATACCACTACTGAAAACGTTCTATATATAACATTAATATATAAGTTAATATATTTTAAAACATAGTACATATAACAGATAAATAAACTTTTATATGGTATTATATATAATAATTATCACGCTGATATATTTATATATTAATTTTTAAAACAAAAAGAACCAAAGGTTTTTAATTAAATAATAGTATATATCGTATATATATAAATAAATCTATAATTTATACATAATACAATTGATATCGCAATATTTCTTACAAATTACTTAAGCTTGCCAGTCCATTATGTTTAACAATTTTATACATTATTTTTAAAAGAAGAAGAACCAAAGGTTTTGATATAAATGACCGTATATATAGTACATATATGAAAAAACTTATAAGTTATACATTATCACGATGATTCTAAGGATCCACTTGGGTCTGGCGGTCCGTTGTGTTCAAATATTTAATACATTATTTTTAAAATAAAGAGAACCAAATGTTATAATCTTAATGATATTATATGAAAATATATGGTATCGGATTTACAATATATAAATTGTTATCTCAACATGCAGGAGCCTCATGTAAGAGATAATGTTAAATGAAATAAATATAAGATTATCCATTATGTGTGTTGCTAAAAGCAAATTTAAATAAAATACAACATTATAATCAAAATTTTGTTTTAATTACAAACAATGTAATGCTTCTCGGGAAGGTATGCAGATCTGAGGTTAATTATTACTTAGTCTGATGAAGTGATAAACAATAATGCAGTCAAGGCGTAAAGAGGGGTTTTGAAAATACCTTGAGTTAAGAAAGAGTAAAAGTGCTAACATAATTATATGTACATAATAACGTTAGTTACTATTACTACTAATTATAAGACAAGTAATAAGTAGATTTCCTGTGATGCCATCATATATTTTTATCAAGAGAATTTTTTCAAAACCTCAACATCAAGTTAATTGGCAATTAAAGCATGTAGGGTCTTTCAATGAAATCGTTGGAGTAGGTCTGTGGTATTGAATAGGCTACTAGCTTCTTCGTTTACAAGCTTCTGTAGCTGCTTAGAATGATCACTCGCTTGCTCTTTAATTTTCTCAGCAATTATTGAGGTGTTAAGACTCAATGAAATTTGATAATACGATGAAAAGTACTATGAAAGTGTTAAAGTGTTATGATCTCGATGAATATAGATATTACGAACATAGTTTGTGGTATCAAGATTTAGATACTGATCGCAATTTTATTTGAATGTATTTAATATTCTATATTGATACATGATACAGAATCATATAAATATCTTCCATAGAACATCTTATTGTATTACATATATTTAGTGGTAATTTTCGATGATTGGTTAGCAAATAACTGAGAATAGCTTGGATATAACTTGACTGGCATTCGTTTTTAAACCGTTAAATCAATTAAATCCATAAATTCATTTGCGTAACACCCAGAGTCATACGAAGAGTTCTATAGTGCCATATCGTATAATATTGGTGGTCAATTCACATCCAGAAAATTTGAAATTACACGTTCGGGAAGTTCTTATTCAGCAAAGCCAAAACAATGTAGAATGTGCATCTTATCATTAACATATTATTATAATATGATAATTTTCATTATCACACATTCCATTCCATATAACTTTAATATATAAATATTCAAAAAAAGAATCTATAAGCGTGTGACTATATTGATCAGTAATGAAATTGAAAATTGTTCCCAAAAATACGATCCTCTTTATAATCCCACAAAAAATAGATCAGTAGTCACAAATTTCGTGATCTTGCTACCCAACTCACGTCAGTAAAGCGTGAAAGCAGACATGAGGTGCAGGAAGAGAAGGGGCACAGAAATACAAGTTTCAGTAATTAGTGACAATATTGGTATCTGAGAAAAGCTACGAACCCCGGTAACCAAAGTATAACTATGTTCTTAAGTGCACCCGTTTCATTACCACAGATGTTGTTAGCCTAAAAGTATGTTGTGTTTTTATTTATTTAAGAAAAATTTTGTATTTAACTATAAAAATAACGATTGTTTTAAAATGCACTCATCAATAAAACTTTTCTCCGCAACACAAACTGCTTTTTAACAAAATGGCTGTTAATTTATGCATTAACAAGTGAACGAGGGGGAAAAAATGGCCGACAAACAAATCATGGCGAACCAAATTAATTTATGAAAAATGCTGATGTAGCACTTAAGCGGCTGAAAAACAAAAAAAATTTGTTTTTAATGAAAACATTTATTTTAGCGCTGAACAGTAAAAACATTTTAATTAAAAAATCAAAAAGCGAAAAAAAATTAATGCAACTCACACTGTCAACAAAATTTTATTGCAAAATTTAAAAATCGCAAAAAGTTTTGAATAAAAATCACAAGGAAGAGACTAAAAATGAGTAATTTTTTGACAAATTTATTTAACGTGAAAGCGGTGACATTTAATAAATTTTTCTTCTTTTGTAGATTTACATGGAATTTTTAACATGTAAACAGTCACGCCTCCTTATTCCCATTTAACAAGTCCATTGATACGTTACTGGAGGTTAAGGAAAACGCTTTGCTATCAATAACGCATGTTTTTATAGCAAATATATATATATATGAAAAAACAAAAATGTATAATAATAATAAATAAATTTTATGTTTTCCGCTGATAATGCAATATTTTTTATTATTTTTTAGTTGCTTGTTTTAGTGGTGATTGGAAAATTGAACCTTTCGCATATCCGGAACTTTGTCACTTGTCGAGCTGCCACCTTTTTACCACCTTTTTTATGTTCGACAAAATACAGAGAGAGAAATATGTTGTATATAAAGGATATGTGTGTTTGCTGAAAATTAATGCGAATTTGACAATTTTATTGAAGCTAAAATACCATGCAGTGCTGTATATAAAAATATTAGCTCATATTTTGCATATTAATTTATTG